GAGTTGAATTACTGAAATAAATGAACTTTTCCACGACATTCTAATTTATTGAGATGCACCTGTATAATGGGTTTAGAAACAAATCTCTGAATTGCCTTTTACATGGACTTTAAAGTTATGACTGTTTTGTCTTGTTCCCAGTTGTTGATGTGTGGTACAGGAGATATTAACGTGCAGGACTTTAAAGCTCATGCTGTAATTGTTGGAGGGTCATGGCACTTCAGAGAAAAGGTAAGTGACTTAATGTTAAATATATTTTATCCTTTTTTCAAGGTATGCACTTAACATAGGTTTATACAGAAATAGGGTTGGGTACTATTCACATTTTAACCAGTACAGTACCGGTATCGGTACCTGAATTTCGGTGCCGGTACCCAACGGTACCTTTTTTCAGTACTTTACTCTCTGTGTAATTACAAAAACATTTATTTCAGTGAAAAAATAAGTCAAAAAGTCTCAATTTCAACAGACTTTTTCTTTTTTTCTTTCTTTCTTTTTTTTCCCCCCAGAAATTCTTGTTTTATTTTTTCTGAAAATCAAATGGCATTAAACATTTATTTTAAATTAAATGAAAATTAAACTCTTTTATTTTTTGGCAAACAAACTGAGGTTTACTGTTGAAATTAATACATGGAAGAAAAAAGGAATATTCCTTTAAAACATTTTTAATAGGCTAATAATTGTATTATTTTTTTCTACAATTAAGTGATTAATTTTCTTGTACTATTTATTTTTATAATTTAATTGTTTTATTTAAATTTGATAGAAAAGGGAACATTTAAAGATGTACATTAGGGCTGGACAATAATTCAATATCAATATGTATCGCGATATCATTTTTTTCAATAACGGTGATATGATTTTTAAACACATTTCCGATATTTCGATATACATTACCAGTTTCCCACGAAACGGTAAAATTCTCGCGAATTGACTCTCACAGCAGCTCTGGAGATTAAGTTTTTGTGTTCATGCCGTCATATAGTGAGACGCAGAGACCGAAAATCACCGCGAGCGTCACGCGTGCTTCATAATTTGTTTAGTAAACAAAACCGCGTTTCCGCCATTCATACATACAGAGGCAAGTGGAACATGCAGGATTCATATTTAAACCGTCTTTTTGCATTTTAATATTCACAGACACTAGATCATATCGCGATTTGAATTAAGTGGCAGTGGCTACTTTTGATTTATTCGTCCAAAATTTACGAATTCCATGGAATTCCACGCTATAGAGTAAATTACGTATTTATGAATGGACTACATGATCCCGTCCGCGTTTTCGCAGAAACCATATGGCCCTAGAAATGTAACCACACTTCAGAACATTTCGGCTTGCCC